CTTCAAATCAGTCTTGACTTGCTGGCATGGACCAGACCCTGTAGTTTTCTTGCAAGTGTTTTCAGAAAGTGGTTTTCCCTTGCCTCCTTCTTCCTAGGGCTGAGAGAGGGACTGGCCCAAAGTCACCTAGTTGGCTTCATGCCTAAAGTAGAACTCGAACTCAGGGCCTCCTGTTTCTAGCCTTGTGCCTTGAACCACTACACCAAACTGGCTCTCACAGGATTAGCTGCCAGAGAAAAATGACCTGCCTTCCATCAGAATGGGAATATTGAGGGATCTGTGTCTGCTTCTTTCCAGCAATTCCTTCATTCCATCTAACAGTAGGGTTTGTCTTGCAAGTTTCACTGCCAGGCCATTATGCTAAATAAATAATTAGACATATCTAGGCACTGGCCCATGTTTGCAACGACTGCTGCTTTGGAGAAGTGCAAATCACATTTTTATAATTCTCCAGAATTCACAGAACTCCCCAAGGGGGTGTATTCAGCCCAACACCTTTAGTATTTAGAACAATGACATCTCTTTTGCAGACTTTTAATATGGTGTTTCTGAAGCTCGGCAACTTTCAGGCATATGGTCTCCTGCTCTTATGGAATTCTTCAGCCCGCAAATCCACCCATCTGGAGTTTGCCAGGTTTAGGAAAAAATGCTGATTGATTGTAATCATATTGTTTTTCGTTTTCGTTTTCATTATATTGATTTTAGTGTCATGTTTTATATTATGCATTGAGTTTTATATAGACTGAACAGTGGGATATAATTTTAATAACTAAAAAAATGCAAAATGTGAAGGGAGATGGAGGAAAGAAATTCCTTTCTTTCTCTCTTTTTTCATTGCTACGAGGGAGGAAGATGGGAGGGAGGGAGGAAGGAAAAAAGGGGAATTACTGAAATTAACAGGTCAGGGACACTTTTTGGAGCCCCTCTTCCACTGATTCAAGAAATCTGAAATATTTTCCCAATATTCTTCTCTCTGTGCATTCTTGGAGAATGAGGTCTGAGCCAAAGTAAGCTTTGGAGAGTTTGCCTACTCTTGCTTGCTAGTATATTGTTTCCCTGACAACAGTTTGAAACTTGAATACCTTTCATTTTACCTGGAAACTGTATTTCAGAGCCAAGGCAGTTTGGAGAGTTTTCCAGCCCTGCCGAAGGATCGCAGCACGCGCGGACCTTGCCATGCTTAGAGATCTGGAAGAATCCTTGAAAAGAATAAAGAACTCCTCTTAGCTTTCTGTCCCATGTCGATGAGGACCCACCGGCACACAAGAGGCTTGAAGGTGCTTATGGGAGTATAAATGAAGATTTTCCAGCATCCCAAGTGTGTTTTTACACTCGATGGACCTCTGAGTGGATGGGACGATATTGCTTGCAAGCTGGCCTCTAGACTAGAGATCCTAGCTTGCACAGGACAGTGTTAAGTGGGACTGCCATAAAGTTGTATTGCTCCTACCCTGATTATGTTCCCAAATGCACTGAAAACAGGGCTATTTTCTCAGGCTTTGGGGTAAGGTAGCTGGCAAGCCCTGCAAGCCCTTGTTCTGTTTGTATGATTTTTCTTTTTCTGAATGCACATTTCTTTATTCTTTTGTTTCATTGTTCTAACTTTTTTCAAGGATGTAAAACACCCCCAAGTGGTTTGGGATCAGGCCTTCTATAGATCTATAAAAAAATCAATCAATCAATCAATCAATCAGGATTTTAGTTACTCTTTTGGCAACCTGCATGGAATGTGTCAAAATTGCCTAGCCCTGTTCTTATTCCCAGGAAATACACACGGTAAGGTAGAACTAAGTCTAAGAAGGGTCTAGGAAAGGGGCCTTCTCTGCTGTGGCCCCCGCCCTGTGGAACAGCGTGACACCTGAGGTGCGGGGCGTCCCCACTCTTATGGCCTTCAGGAAGAGCGTGAAATCTTGGCTATGCCAGATGGCCTGCAGGCTGGATGGGGGCTCGCATTGTTGGAACTGGCTGGTGGGGTAATCGATTCTGCCCCCCTCCCATCATCTTGAATTGTATATAGTCTTTTTATATAGCATTATTTCTTTAGCTAATTTATATGGATATTTATATTTTCACTGTTTTTAATGTTTGGTTTTAATTGTGAGCCATCCAGAACCACCCCCTGGGGGAGAGGGGCAGCATATAAATTTAATAAATAAAATAAAATAAAATAGCCTAGGCTATATCTTCTCAGTCTTCTTAAAAATGTAAATGCTTCAGCTGATTTAAGGCATGATTGGGGGGGGGGCATCTGTGGTCCCATTTGGTGATGACCAACATGTGGAAGACTGTGACTTGATCGCCTCCCCTCATGAATCTCCAACCTCCTTTGAAATCTATCCAAGTCCATGGTTTATATCATGTCTTGTCGGAATGAATCCCCCAGTCTGCAATGAAGGTGTGAAACAGGACTTCAGAGGAGCCCAAGAAAAAGAAATAAAAATGACGTAAGAAGAAAAAAATAGCTCTGCCAAGGATTTTCTTTCTCACAATGGCCAACTTGATGCCTCTGGAAGGCTCATAAAGAGAGATGGAGACCTACCTGTCTCTTGTCATTGTTCTCCTACAGCTGGTTTGGAGACCACCTTGCTTCAACTGGAGGTTACGTTGAGTCTTCAAGACTCATAATCCTTCTCAGCCCTGTCTTCCATGAATTTATTTATTTATTTTTAGGACTGTTCTTATGTTGCATTTTAATGAATTTTATCTCTGTTGTAAACCTCCCAGAGTCGTTTCAACGAGATGGGCGGTGACAAGTTTGATAAAAAAAAAAAATTCTCCAGTCCTTTCTGAAAACTATCCACCACTACTTTCTATGGCAGCGAATCCCACAAGTTAATGATGCGTTGTGTGAAGAACCTCCTAATCAGCTTTATGGAGTGACCCCCAGTGCTAGTATTTGGAGAGATGAAGAAAAACATCGCCCTCTCCCTTTTCTTCATCTCATGCATGATTTTACAGACCTCAATCACATCTCTCTTCAACTGCCTTTTTTTTTTAAGCTCAAGAGGTCTTTCTTGAAGAAACACTGCAAAGCTGAGGAACAGTTCTGTGACAAATAAACCAGGGGTAAACTGAGAGGGTGATGAAGTAAGAAGGCGTCTCCTTCTCACGCAGCAGGTTCCAGATTCCATCACTAGCAAAACGAAGCAGACCAAGACATGACATTGGAGCTGGGAACTCAGAGAACCCCAAGGACTCCACAGTTCATATTTGCTTCTGTCAAAACATGACATTCCAGAGGAGGATGAAAAGGTCCCCAAATTCTGGTCCTTCTCTTCCGTTGATGTTATCACATCATCCTGCAGTATCCACAGGATCTCCTGTCAGTTTGGGCCATAGGAGAGGGGTGGAGCTTACAGTGCAGCCACATGACATCAGTCTGACTCCGCCCCTTGCACCTTCTGTGGAGCCCACTCAAGTCATTGCCATGTTCCCTGTGACCTTCAGCCACTGAAGTCATTAAGAAGTGTGACCTCTGATGACAAAAAGTCTGCGTGACCAAGAACAAATAGAAAACGGGTGGCGCACCTTTATCTATTTTATCCCATGCCAAGCTTTTAGAAAAACCTGCTCAAAAAGGTCACCTGGAAATAGACATTTTCTCTCTGGTTTTGCTTAGAACTATCTCTCTGATTGTGAATGAAGTTATTATGAATGAAGTTATTATGAAGTTAGTGTCTTGTTATCTTCTGGGTTTGAAGGGGCAAAGATGCAGAAGTTATGAAAGATAGCATCATTTCAATCCATCCAGGTTAGGCTATATTGGGGTCGACCAGAACGAATTCTTAAATCCCAGGACAGACTTTGCTTGCAGAAGTTCTAAGACATGCTAAGGCCAGTAGAATGCAACATGATGAACTAAAAGCTAATGTAATCAGTGCCAAACATCTTGAAAATATACTATCATAACCCTAAAGGTTATAGTGAGAATACAAATGTAAATTCTTCTGGAGGGAGGGAGCAGATTTACCAACATTCTCTTTTGAAATTCCTTCTACGTCTTGATGAAGCAAGAATTTCTGGATTCACCTTCAGCTGTTCTCTTTTAAGTAAAATGCTGGCTCGTGCTCATTGGGGCTGAAGCCTTGTGGGTTGGGGAGAGGACCTAATCCATGGAGATGTTTCTTAGACGAAAGGAGGTTGGATAAGTGAGGTCATGAGGTCACAAAGGCCAATGGGCACAAAAGTCCTGGGAAAGGTTGCTTCCTAACTCTGAAGGAAACCTCAGAAGCTTTCAGGAGAGATCAATCAACACCAATCAACATCCAATGAGCAGATTTTTTTTTTCCAAGCCGTGAGTATTCTGCTTAACCCTCAACTATCTAATTTCATGGATGTTGGGTCACGGTAGGCCTTAGCCTACCAAGTTGAGGCACCAACTATCCAGAAAGGCCTTTGAAGTCCTTTAGACAGATCAATCCTTGATCATAGCTAGAATGTCTTCTGCTTTTTCATCTTCCGTACATGTGGTTATGGTGATACTACTTCATCTAACCACCAATGAAGCCTTAATCCGGGCAGTATACAACCATAATGGCATCAGCCAAGATTTTGAAGCTTTGCATTCTGACTTTGGTCCTTTGCTCCGCACTGAAGGCCTCCTTGGTTATCTCATTGAAGCCAGGCCAGCCAACGCCTGCCAGCCAATCAAAGCACCGCCTCTATCCAAGAGCTTTCCAGTTGCCTACATTGCTCTCATCCAGAGATATGACTGTCCCTTCACTACCAAGGTCCTCCATGCTCAGCAAGCTGGCTATCACGCCGCCATCGTGCACAACGTCAACTCACAAGCCCTTGTAATCATGATGGGTGAAAAGGAGATGAGGCATCAAGTCAACATCCCATCCATGTTTATCAGCGAATCAGCTTCCACCCAGCTCAAAAGGATCTTCCATTATGACCAGACAGCCTACGTCATCCTTATTCCCGACTGCCATTGGCTGTCCTGCTGGAATCACAGATCCAACTGCCAGTCCAGTCCCCACCAAGGGAAGCAAAGACATTTGAAGCAGATGTTCCCCTTCTTGTCCAATCAGTGTCACATCTCTGGAAGCACGCATTACCTGCTCCTTGGTCTCATGCTGGCGATCTGGATAGTAGCTTTCTACATCATATGTTTTCTCTAATGATTCAGTGGACTCTGGGACTCGGCTTCAGCAGAACCAAATGTTTCACAGGTGCCTTTTCAGGAAACGTGTCAAATTAATACAGTGTCCACAGATCAGACCATCAGGATTTTGGGGTTTTTGCTCCCTGCTCCTCTTCCTCCTCTTTCTCTTTTTCTGTTACATCAAAGATCTGAAGCTGTCCCCCACCCCACTCCATTAAGTTCTGCATATTACATGGGGCAGGGGTTGAAGGAGTTGGACTAGACCAGTGTTTCTCAACCTTGGCGGCTTGAAGATGGGTGGACTTCAACTCCCAGAATTCCCCAGCCAGCCCTGCTTCCAATCATAAGATTGGAAGGGAGTTTAGAAGCCCTCTAGCCTTACCCTCGCTCAGTGCAGAATCCAATAGAGCAGTGTTTCTCAACCTTAGCAACTTATGCTGGCTGGGGAATTCTGGGAGTTGAAGTCCACACATCTTCAAGTCGCCAAGGTTGAGAAACACTGGACTAGACATAGGAAACTCAGGTCCAAGTACCCCTCAACCACAGAGGATCCCTGGGGAATTTGGGTCAGTCCCTCCCTCTCAGCCCAAGAGCCAATCAGGTGTAGAGGGGAAGGGGCTAGACTAGGGGGGGAAACCCAGATTCTAGTTCTTCTTCAGCCACAGAAGCTCATTGGCTGACTTAGGGTCAGTCCCTCCCTCTCAGCCCAAGAGCCAATCAGGGCTAGACTAGGGGGGGAAACCCAGATTCTAGTTCTTCTTCAGCCACAGAAGCTCATTGGCTGACTTAGGGTCAGTCCCTCCCTCTCAGCCCAAGAGCCAATCAGGGCTAGACTAGGGGGGGAAACCCAGATTCTAGTTCTTCTTCAGCCACAGAAGCTCATTGGCTGACTTAGGGTCAGTCCCTCCCTCTCAGCCCAAGAGCCAATCAGGTGTAGAGGGGAAGGGGCTAGACTAGGAACAGGGAGAACCTGGGTTCTAGTCCCCCCTCAGCCATGGAAACTCACTGGGGGATTTTGGACCAGTCAATCTCAGCCTCAGATTTTACAGGGTGGGTGTTGTGGACAGAAATATTGGTGGGGAAGAGATGCCATGTATGCTCTGGGAGGAGAGTGGCAATATATATCAAACATAAATTGTAGATGCTACCGTAGTCACCCATGAGCAGAGCCAGAGTTGAAAACTGGTACACCCCCCCTCTGCCTTCCACATCCCTTTTCTTTCTCCTCTTATCTCTTCCTCAATTTTCGCCTCCTTCCCTCTTCCATCCCCTGCCGGAGGTCACTTTCCACAGTTCTAAATTAGGGATTAAAAAGAATTTCATCACAGTTCCAGCTGCGAGTGAATTGAAATGCTTTACTCCCAGCAGATCCGTGGCAAGGACAAATGCCAGCAAAAATAAAGCAGAACTTGTATGTGTTCTCCCCTTCTCCCAAACGCACACGTTTTGTAAAACATAAGGTTGAACAGGGGTCTCATTTATCTTTCTTTAACTTTTAAAAACCCTGCTGCACTTAAAGCAGGGCCAGGCCCTTTATAGACTAGAAATTTCTTCTGGCACTTTCTGGAAGTTCTTGGAAGACCCTTGGCTTGAATAGTCACATGGTCAATCCAAGAAGACCGTTGGGAAAGGGAAGACGATTCCTTGCAAAATGGAAGATCATGACAATAGGCTTTTGAAAGCTTGAAAAAGATGTTGCATTGACCTTTCTTTCTTTCTTTCTTTCTTTCTTTCTTTCTTTCTTTCTTTCTTTCTTTCTTTCTTTCTTTCTTTCTTTCTTTT